ACACACACACACACACACACACACATATATATATACACACACACACATATATATATATATATATATATATATATATATATATATATATATGCATATATATATATTACATTTACAAAAAAAAAATTGCTGTGTATACACTCACCGGCCACTTTATTAGGTACACCTGTCCAACTGTTTGTTAATGCAAAATTTCTCATCAGCCTATCACATAGCTGCAACTCAATGCCGTTAGGCAAGTAGACATGGTCAAGACAATCTGCTGCAGTTCAAAACGAGTATCAGCATGGGAAAGAAAGGTGGTTTCAACCTTCAGGTAAATGATTTTGCACCTTTGGGATGTGGTGGAACGGGAGATTGGCATCATGGATGTGCAGCCGACAAATCTGCAGCAACTGCGTGATGCTATCATGATAATATGGAGCAAAATCTCTGAGGAATATTTACAGTGGCTTGGTAACTCTACGTCATGAAGGATTAAGGCAGTTCTGAAGGCAAAAGGGGTCCAACTTGGTACTAGTAAGGTGTACCTAATAAAGTGGCCGGTGAGTGTATATAGATACACATAAATTGTCAAAAAAAAAAAACCTTTTCATTTGGATCTGATTGATCTTTGGCCAGCACTAAGTTTTTTTATTATTATTATTATCAATATTATTATTAATTACAAACTTTTGAAATGGTTTACATTTTGTTAGAAGCATAACATCATTACGAATGACTATTCTGATTATTGTAACTCAGCATAATATCAAAATAAAAGTTTATTAATTAATTCATTAACAAAAAAGATTCCCGCTGGTGCTTGATTGATGTGGGTTTTTCCCATTGTTGTCACAATATTAACTACATATTAACTGAAATGTAAAATGAAATGGCTTGTGTTAATGTTGTTTTCAGGTGTTCATCGACCGCTTCAGATATAACGCCAACAGAGCCGCTCAAGTGCAGAGCAAACTCAAGCTGCTGGAGAAACTGTGAGCTTTTACATCTATATTTTCCCCAATACTTCATCTCTAATAACTGATTTATTTCTCTTTGTCATGATGACAGTAAATAATATTAGACTAGATATTCTTCAAGACACTAGTGTTCAGCTTAAAGTGACATGTAAAGGCTTCACTAGGGTAATTAGGGTAAAGTTAGGGTAATTAGGCAAGTCATTGTATAACTGTGGTTTGTTCTGGAGACAATCCAAAACCTATGTAGCTTAAGGGGGCGAATAATATTGACCTTAAAATGGCTTTAAAACAATTAAGAACTGCTTTTATTCTAGCCGAAATAAAACAAACAAGACTTTCTCCAGAAGAAGACATATTATAGGAAATACTGTGAAGAATTCCTGGATCTGTTCAACATCATTTCGGAAATATAAAAAAAAAAGTATAACAATTGACAGGAGGGCGAGTCAGTTTGACTTCAACTGTACATATTAAACTGTCGCTCTGAATGTCTCCAGGCCTGAACTCAAGCCTATGGTCAAGGAGTCTGAAGTCGCCTTACGGTCAGTTTCTCTCCATTCTCTGTGTCTGTGGTTCAGATTCCTGCCTGTCAGACTCATGTTTGTTTCTTTTGCTTTTCCGCCAGTTTTCCGGATAACTTTGAGAAGTTGTCTCCGCCAATCCTGCAGCTGGATGAGGTGGAGTTCGGATATTCGCCTGAGCAACGGCTCTTCAGCGGACTCTGCATCTCCGCTGATCTGGAGTCACGCATTTGCATTGTGAGTGTTTGCTGTAGATGATCTGAATACACTGAGGAATCTGCTGCTTAAAATCTGAACTAAATATTCTTCAAGACACTTCTATACAGCTTAAAGTGACATTTAAATGCTTCACTAGGGTAATTAGGGTAAAGTTAGGGTAATTAGGCAAGTCATTGTATAACAGTGGTTTGTTCTGGAGACAATCCAACACTAATATTGCAGAAGGGGCGAATAATATTGACCTTAAAATGGCTTTAAAGCAATTAAAATTCTAGCCGAAATAAAACAAATCAGACTTTTTCCAGAAGAACAAATATTAGAGCAAATACTGTGAACAATTCCTGAATCTGTTCGACATCATTTGGGAAATATTTGCGTGTGGTTGTAGGTTGGTGAGAATGGAGCTGGTAAATCCACTCTACTGAAGCTGCTGATGGGAGAACTGACGCCCCTCGGTGGAGCCAGACATGCACACAGGTAAACATCACACACACACACACACTACACTCTGTCTGTCTGTAGACTCACACATTCTTGTGAAACAAACTCCATAAAATTACCCCTAATATTGATAAAGGAAACTTCTAGAAATTCTCCAACCAATGGGGTTAAGATTGTTTTTATTATTTGTAGTATCACAATCTCAGTGTTTTCATTATATATATATAAATATACTTGGAGCAGACAAACTTTGGCCTCTTGGAAATAGTTTCTTTTAATTTTAGTTTGAAAAAGGATTAATAAATGGATGAATGAATGTGTAGATGGGTCAGCAGACATAAAGATGGATGGATTGATAGATAGATTAGCAGAAATAAAAATGAATGGATGGATGGATAGGTCAACAGGGATAGATGGATGGATGGGTGGATGGATGGATGGATGAGTGGGTGGGTGGGTGGATGGATGGATGGATGGGTGGATGTATGGATAGGTGTGTGGGTGGGTGGATGGAAGGATGGATGGGTGGATGTTTGGATAGGTGTGTGGGTGGGTGGGTGGATGGATGGATGGGTGGATGTTTGGATAGGTGTGTGGGTGGGTGGATGGATGGATGGGTGGATGTTTGGATAGGTGGATGGATGGATGGATGGATAAGTGGGTGGGTGGGTGGGTATGTGGATGGATGGATAGGTCAACAGAAATAAAAATAGATAGATGAATGGATGGATGGATGGAAAAGTTAACAGAAATTAAGATGGATGGATTTATAGATAGATCAGCAGAAATAAAAATGGATGGATGATGGAAGATAGCTCAACAGAAATAAGGATAGATGGATGGGTGGATGGATGGATAGATAGGTCAACAGAAATAAAATAGAAGGAGGGATGGATGGATAGATAAATGGATGAATGGTGGATGGATGGATAAATCGATAGGTCAACATAAATATGGATGGATGGATGTCAACAGAATGATGGATGGAAGAATGAATGGATGAATGAATAGATAGGTCAACAGAAATATGGATGGATGGATGTCAACAGAAGGATGGATGAATATATAGGTCAACAGAAATATGGATGGATGGATGGATGGATGGATGAATGAATCGATAGGTCAACAGAAATATGGATGAATGGATGAATGAATAGATAGGTCAACAGAAATATGGATGGATGGATGGATGGATGAATGAATCGATAGGTCAACAGAAATATGGATGAATGGATGAATGAATAGATAGGTCAACAGAAATATGGATGGATGGATGGATGGATGGATGGATGAATGAATAGATAGGTCAACAGAAATATGGATGAATGGATGAATGAATAGATAGGTCAACAGAAATATGGATGGATGGATGGATGGATGGATGGATGTCAACAGAAGGATGGATGAATATATAGGTCAACAGGAGTAAAGATGGATGAATAGTTCAACACAATGGAACCTAAATAGATCAACATTTATTTTGCCGTCACCTCATAATTCAGTTTCTCATCAAATCCTCTGACCAATCAAACGCTCTCTAGCCTCTGATGTGCCCCGCCCCTTCTTTTAATTTCTTTTTATTTGATGTGCTTGAGCTCAACCACTCTCTGGCAGAGCTGTGAGCAAAACTAAACGCCATTGGTTGTTTTAAAAAAGGGGAGGGGCTATATCCCACCCTCTCTTCATGTTTCCGTTGAGATTACTAGGCATAAAAAATGCACATTTAAACACAAGCAGACTCTCTCCTGTGTCGTCTCCCACAGAAAGCTGAAGATCGGTTATTTCAGCCAGCATCACGTGGATCAGCTGGACCTGAACGTCTGCTCCATAGAGCTGCTGCTCAAGAGATTTCCAGGTACTGTCTCCTCAGAGATCATCATCATTAGTACATGCACGAGCCCTGCTGAGAGACTTCTGATGCTGGAGTGTTTATTAATGAGGATATCAGAGGACATTACAGTCATTCAGACCATATACATGCAGAAGTCTTCAATACTCAAGTCAACACTTATTATAAGTGACAGTTCACCCCAAAGACAAACCAGGAGAAATTTGGGGTATCATTATTATTAATATAGTTTCATCCAGTACATCCTACTTGAATGTTTTTAGTGCATGTGCGTTTGTGTGTGTTTATGTACTTGTGTGTGTTCAGGTGAGACGGAGGAGGAGTATCGCCATCAGCTGGGCAGATACGGCATCACTGGAGAATTAGCCACGCGGCCGGTGGCCAGTTTATCAGGAGGACAGAAGAGCCGCGTGGCTTTCGCTCAGATGACCATGCCCTGGTAATACACACATGTAAACAGCAGGGTTTATACACTTACCTGTATGGTACAAATGTAATATAATTTTATTATTGTTTTATATTAGTGCTGTCAATCGATTAAAAAAATGTAACTAATTAATCGCACCTTTTTAAAAAAATTAATCGCCATTAATCACATTTAAAATACTGAAACTTGTAATTTTGGCTATTTAAATGTAAAATTAATGTAAACGCAAGACAAAAAAATTTAAAATTCAAAATATAATTGTTTATTAGAATTAAAATTAAAAATATAATTGTTTATTAGAATTAAAATTCAAAATATAATTGTTTATTAGAATTAAATTTCAAAATATAATTGTTTATTACAATTAAAATTCAAAATATAATTGTTTATTAGAAATAAAATTCAAAATATAATTGTTTATTAGAATTAAAATTCAAAATATAATTGTTTAATAGAATTTTTGTTTAACTTGTAACACAGATTTCTTCATGTAAACAACATACCACAATAAACCATCAAGATCCTGGCTTGACAGCCATATTTATTACAGGAATTAAAACACAGGCATGTTAATGACATTTAAATTTCAAAACAATCAATGCCAATAAAGAAAACATTGATTTCCATGTTGGATTCTAAGTGGACTGCAAAAAATGCCAAAATACAGGAATTGCAGATATGGAAAATGAAAAATTATAATAATAAACTATAGAATACAAACTGTTGCACTCACTGTAAAGTTTTATTGCTGTGAGTTGAGAACATTAATTATAGAGTAGAAACAATTTTCCTTTACATTCATCCAGTTGCTAAGACTAGGAGTATCCCGCAAGTGCACAGAGACTCCCGGATGCCCGCAAATGAATGATAATTTCTCGCAACCCGGTCGTTAAATACATTGCACACCCCTCTCACCCCTACTCAGATACGTCGCTCACTCCACCCCTGACACAGACACACAGACAGACATACACACAACTCGCTGCAGACGTTTTGGCCCCAACGGCCTTCCATACTGGAGCGTCTTCCCTCATATTCAACACGCATGATCACGTTCATTAAATTTGCTTAAACTAAGCGTCCTAAAGTATTACTGTATTTCACAAGGATTCTGACACAACAACGCGAAGCATACACTTTCGTTGCGTTTAATGAGGAAACACGCTAAACTTGGAGGGCTCATGCTGAAAGGCAGAGTAATGCCCTGTCTTTGACAGCTCGCGACTTCACCAGAGACGTTCTGAGTACATTTATATAAGACACCAATACTCCGATTTTAATATGATTAAGATAATACTCTTATTAAAATTCTACCGTGTAGCCTTAAAAGGACCTTACCTTAAAGGAACACCGAGTCACGAAATGCGGAGGATTTTCTTTCTGTTCGCCATGCGGTATCAACTTACAACAGAAGTTGTCGAATGTTAAAAATGAAACACCCGAAATTGCATGAAACTCTGGAGAGCTTGTGATGCAACTAATTGTTTTATACTGAAACTTGCCTTCAAAAAGTGCTTCCTTGGTCTTATCCACATTTATTGCATGTTGAACACGCGTCTACCAAAACAGGAAGTAAAAAAACCTGCAACTGCGTTAATTGCGTAATTTTTTTAACGTGTTAATTATTTAAAATTAATCGCATGCGTTAACGCACTAATTTTGACAGCGCTATTTTCTATATATGTGTAACTTATTTATCTATTTTTAGTGTAGAGAGCTCTGCTGTGACATGGGAATTTCCCTTTGGAGATTAATAAAGTCAAACAAACAAAATAAGAACAAATATAAACTATTTAAAATGGTAAATATGAAGAATTTAGCTACAGAGTACAATAGCCACAACCATTCGCTCAGTCTAATGCACATCTAATTAAACCGTCATATAGGTCACATTTACATCCTCGCTTTCGTCTCATTTCTAGCCCCAACTTCTACATTCTGGATGAACCGACCAATCATCTGGACATGGAGACCATCGAGGCCTTGGCAAAAGCACTCAACAAATTCAAGGTAAAACACAACCGTTCCTGCTGTCTAGCAGAACTATTAGTGGTAAGATCAAAAGTTTTGTGAATAATGATGTGCGGTAGCTATAGTTTTATTATAATGCCACATCATTATTGTGCTAAGCGCGCGCCTTTGACACAATGCCAATAAGCTTAGGGTTGTTTCCAGTGCAAGCGCACTGCGATTCATGCAGGTTAAACTAACCGGTCTGCTTCACACTTGGTATGGAATATTTTAGTTAGGGCTGGACGATATGGCAAAAAATTATATCACAATATATTTCTTAATTTCGGTCGATAAGATTCTGATATCGATATGGAAAATATTAAAAAGACAAGAAAAAAACTGCTTAGAACGCACACAATAGATGTGTGTAGCTACAAATGCCTGCAATCTGAATTTGCAAAGTCTATAATACCTCCAGGCTCTTATAACTTGTTTTTTTATTTATTTTTTTATAAAAACAGTACAAAAAAAGGCAACTTTTTCTTTGTATTTAGCCTTTACAAACAATAAATGTGAAATAAACTATCAAATAAATAAAACTCTCAGACTCAGCTTATTTATATATATATACAGTTGATATCAGTATTATTCCCCCCCCAGTTTAATTTTTCCCCAATTTCTGTTTAATGGAGAGATTTGTTCAACACATTTCTAATCATAATAGTTTTAATAACTCATCTCTAATAACTGATTTATTTTCTCTTTGTCAAGATGACAGTAAATAATATTAGACTAGATATTCTTCAAGACACTAGTGTTCAGCTTAAAGTCACATTTAAAGGCTTCACTAGGTTAATTAGGCAGGTTAGGATAATTAGTCAAGTCATTGTATATCGATGGTTTGTTCTGGAGACTATCGGTAAAAAATAGCTTAAAAGGGCTAATAATTTTGTCCCTAAAATATTTTTTTAAAAATTAAGAACTGCTTTCATTCTAGCCTAAATAAAACAAATAAGACTTTCTCCAGAAGAACAAATATTATCAGACACACTGTGAATCTGCACAACATCATTTAGGAAATATATAAAAAAGAGCAAAAAATTTAAAGGGGGGCTAATAATTCAACTGTATATATGCGTGTGTGTATATATATGTGTGTGTATGTGTGTGTGTATATATATATATATACATACACACACACATATATACACACACGCTATATATTGCTCGCTATATATGAGCAATATCACACTCGTAGCAGTGCGATATGGCTGTATATCGGCACTGGTGGGAGGCGTGCCTCAACAATAAAAAGGTTGTTTGTTATCATAACTGTTAGTTACTAATAACTAATTAACTAGTATTAATAGCTTTTAGTTAACTTGCAGTTATAGTGTATATAAAGTTAAAGTCTGAATTATTTGAATATTTAAATCTCAAAAATTTCCCTAATGATGTTGAACAGATTCAGGAATTTTTCACAGTATTTCCTATAATATTTCTTCTTCTGGAGAAAGTCTTGTTTGTTTTATTTCGGCTAGAATAAAAGCAGTTCTTAATTGTTTTAAACCCATTTGAAGGTCAAAATATTATTCGCCCCATTAAGCAATATTAGTTTTGGATTGTCTCCAGAACAAACAATCATTATACAATAACTTGCCTGATTACTCTAACTTTACCCTAATTACCCTAGTGAAGCCTTTACATGTCACTTTAAGCTGTACAGAAGTGTCTTGAAGAATATCTGGTATAATATTTTGTGCTGTCATCATGACAAAGAGAACATCAATCAGTTATTAGAGATGAGTTATTAAAACTATTATGATTAGAAATGTGCTCTCTGTTGACTCTGACTTCAGCTGTCTGTGTGAACATGAATGAAGTTTATAGTGTGCAGTGAGTATAAAGTGTTTGATATCTGTGTGTGTGTGTGTAGGGTGGTGTGGTTCTGGTGTCCCACGACGAGCGCCTCATCCGGATGGTCTGTAAAGAGCTGTGGGTGTGTGAAGCTGGTCGGGTCCACCGTATAGACGGAGGTTTCGATGAGTATAGAGATATCTTGCAGGAACAGTTTCGCAAAGAGGGATACTTGTGATGGAGTCGCTACAGAAAACACCCCGAAACTGCCATTGAGGAGAGCGTCCCAAATCCCGGAGGCTTTACTGCTGGAGTTCATCCCCCCTCCCCCAAAAAATCATGCGGGTTCAGGACCGGACGCTTGCTGAACTTCTGTGTAGATCGACATATTAAAAGATGAAGGTGAAACGGACATATGCACAACAGATGTTATACCCCACACCGCTTTTAAAAACCACACAATACGGTAATAAAATAATAACTGTCCAACATCTCTTTAATATTGTGTGTCTGGTTATTAACATTAATGATTTTATAGGATACAGGGGTGAATTACACTCACCGGCCACTTTATTAGGTATGCCTGTCCAACTGCTCATTAATGCAAATTTCTAATCAGCCAATCACATGGCAGCAGCTCACTGCATTTAGGCATGTAGACATGGTCAAGAGAATCTGCTGCAGTTCAAAGTGAGCATCAGAATGGGGAAGAAAGGGGATTTAAGTGATTTTGAACGTGACATGATTGTTGCTGCCAGACGGGCTGCTCTGAGTATTTCAGAAACTGCTGATCTACTGGGATTTTCACGCACAACCATCTCTAGGGTTTACAGAGAATGCTCCGACAAAGAGGAAATATCCAGTGAGCGGCAGTTCTGTGGGCGCAAATGCCTTGTTGATGCCAGAGGTCAGAGGAGAATGGCCAGACTGGTTCCAGCTGATAGAAAGGCAACAGTAACTCAAATAAGCACTCGTTACAACCGAGCTCTGCAGAAGAGCATCTCTGAACACACAACACGTCCAACCTTGAGGCGGATGGGCTACAGCAGCAGAAGAGCACACCGGGTGCCGCTCCTGTCAGCTAAGAACAGGAAACTGAGGCTACAATTCACACAGACTCACCAAAACTGGACAATGATGCTATCATGACAATATGGAGCAAAATCTCTGAGGAATATTTCCAGTAGCTTGTTGAATCTCTGCCACGAAGGATGAAGGCAGTTTCGAAGGCAAAAGGGGTCCAAGCCGGTGCTAGTAAGGTGTACCTGATAAAGTGACACACACACACACACACACACACACACAAAGTTTCATAATGATTTTATTTAGCAACAATAAAAAGTATTAGATGGATTAAATAACGTGTGTAATATGACATTTTCCGTGCACAACAGAAGTTTAACGCAATATAAACAAAAAACAAAGGGCCCATTTTCATATTCAGACTAAAAATAATTCAACAAATCTGATGTCAAAACTACTGAACTTGATAATATAAATGCAAGAGCAGCATCCATCAAACACAGGCGGATGCTGAGTCCTTCCAAAACATTTCATCATTCAAGTTCAACCTATTTAAAGAGTCACGATTAAAAGTTTACATCATTCATGTTCAGAATAGTCGTTTCATCCATTATATAAGTCATTCTCTCCCCCTATAAACTAAAATCTATTTAAATCATTCTCTGTCCTCATGATCACAGTTCAGCAGCGTATTGGAAATTTTATTAACTCGAATGTCGTCCGATGCATGGCGTTATTATATTATTACGCTATTAAACCAGCTCGTTCCCTCATTAGTGGTCAGTAAATGTCGGGCAGTTGCGAGTAGTTCCTGCTCCAGTAGTTGTCATTGTAGAGCCAGTCTGGAGCTCCGGTGTGAGGGTTCGAGCCCTGATGAAACCACCTGCAGGTCAACATTAACATGCAAATCAGTGCTTGATAAACCTCACTACTGTTTCTATACAGAAACACAGGCTGACAGAACTGTTTCTTTAAAAAAAATTCCTGAGCAACACAAAAACATTAGAGATGTTAGATTAACAGTCTTAAACTGGCAAAGCCTTAAACGCTGATAGGAACATGTTAGCAATATGCTAAAACGTGTTAGCAATGTGTTAACAAGCTAGGAATGTGTTGAAACATGTTAGCTGTGTGACACATGGCAAAGTACTTAAATCTTCTATGTAAAACATGCTAAACACGTTAGCCATGGGGTAAAACATAGTAACTTGCTGTAGCATGCTAAATACATGCTAACCATGCAACATGCTAAAACATTCTAGCAGTGTCTTTAAAAAAAAAAACTAGAAATTTGCTAAAAATCTACAAAAAACATCAATGTGCTCAAACGTTCTTACAAATATAAACCATGCTAATTATACATTAGCCATATGCTAAAACATGATTTACTATAGCATGCTAAATACCGGTTAACCATGTGCTAAAAACATAACATTGTGTTAAAATGCTAAGAAAGTGGTAAAACATGTTAACTGTGTACTAAAGCATGGCATTGTGCTCAAACGTTCTAGCAATATAAAGCATGCTAATTATACATTAGCCATATGCTAAAACATAACAAGTGTGTTTAAACATTCCAACAAACTTAAAGCATGCTAAACGTGTTAGCCATGGGGTAAAACATAGTAATTTGCTGTAGCATGCTAAATTACTGTGAACCATGTGCTAAAAACATAACGTTGTGCTAAAACATTCTAGCAGTGTGTTAAAAAAGCTAGAAATGTGTTCAAACATGCTACAAATCTACAATAAACATGGCAATGTGCTCAAATGTTCTAGCAATATAAAGCATGCTAATTATATGTTAGCCATGTGCTAAAACATAACAAATGTGGTAAACATGGCAGAAAATTTAAAACATGTTAAACACATTAGCCATGGGGTAAAACATAATCATTTGCTATAGCATGCTAAATATCTGTTAAATTTGTTAAAACATGGTAAAAACATGTTGACGGCATACTAAAACATGGCAATGTGCTAAACGCTCTAGCAATGTAACAACATGTTAAATACATTAGCCATGTCATAAAACAGCGCATGTTATGTCATGCCAGCAAATTTATAAGATGCTAAACATGTTAGCAATGTGCAAAAACAGAAATGTGTTAAAAAGCTTAGAATGTATTACAACATGCTAAAACATGTTAGCTGTAAACTAAAATAGCAATGTGCTTAAACATTTTAGCAACATAATGCATTTTAACCGTGTTAAAACATAATTGGCAAAGCCATGTTTTTGTACACAGCTTATACGCATGTTTTAACATATATCTACATTTTTAACATATTGCTAAACATTAGCTATGTATGAAAACATGGCTTTGTGCTGAATCATTCTATAAATGTAAAAACATGCTAAATGCATGTTAACCATGTACTAAAACACAACGTGGTAAAAAGCTAGGAATGTGTTAAAACATGATAGCAATTTATTTTTATTTTGTTCAAAGTAAAACAATCTAATTAAATAGCTAGGAACATTTTAAATATCTGTTTACTGCCAGCAAATTTAAAACGTTGCTGTTGTCACACATGGCTAGTATATGCTAAAACATGCTAAATACTTGTTTAACGTGCTAAAACATAATGGGCTGAAACATTCAAATAAATTTGTTAAAAAGCTAGGAATGTGTTAAAACATGTTAGCAATGTGCTAAATACATGTTAGCCATGTGTTAATGTAGCATCGTGTTAAAACATTAACATCATGAATGCTAGCATATTCAGTTTTGTCTTTATAAGAACTAAATCAGTCACATTCTCGCTTTCTCGTAGCGTATTAATGAACACGTCAAACCTTATTTTCCATTCCTCGTTGGATTTGGAGCGATCTTTTCGCGCTGTTCGTTGTTTTTCCTCCAGTCTGTTTTTCTCTGCACTGGCTATATCTGAAGAAAGAGGAGCAATGCAGAATCCCCAACAATCACTACACATTTGTAAAAACAATTAAGTTAACGTAATCAATATGCGTTGTAGGATTTTGCAGAGTAGGCAGGTTATACGATGCTAGTTATTAGTGACAATTGGTACTTAAACTGTGTCTAACAATGTGTTAAAAAGCCAAGAATGTTTTAAAACATGTTAGCAGTGTATGAAAACATGCCTATGTGCTGAATCAATCTATCAATATAAAAGAATGTTAAATATATTAGCCATGTGCTAATATGTATTTAGAACATGTTTTAAAATTGCTAGCATGTTTTAGCACATTCCTAGGTTTTAAAACATGTTAAATACATGCTAACAATATAGTAAAATATGTTAGCAATGGGTTTAAAAGTTAGGAATGTGTTTAAACATGTTTTAGTAAAGGACGAACATGTTTTTATTAACATGACAATGTGCTGAAACCTTCTAGTGGTGTAAAAAACATGCTAAATATGTGTTAGCCATGTGCTAACATGTATTCAGTATGTTTTAAAATTGCTATCATGTGTTAACACATTCCTAGGTTTTAAAACATATTAAATACATGCTAACAACATGCTAAAATATGTTAGCAATATGTTTAAAAGTTAGGAATGTTAAACCATGATTGCCCTGAACTAAAACATAACAATGTGCTGAAACATTCTAGCAACATAAAAACATGCTAATTATATGTTAGCCATGTGCTAATATGCATTTAGCATCTTTTCAAATTGATAGCATGTTTTAAAACAAGTTGAATAAATGCTAAAATATTTTAGCAATGCGTTTAAGTTAGGAATGTGTTAAAACATGTTAAACATGTTAGCCCTGTACTAATATGTATTTAGCTTGTTTTAAAGTTGCTAGCATGTTAACACATTCCTAGGTTTTAAAAACTTAAAAAGTTAAAAACATGCTAACGATATGCTAAAATATGTTAGCAATATGTTTAAAAGTTAGGAATGTGTTAAACCACGTTAGCCCTGTACTAAAACATAACAATGTGCTGAAACATTCTAGCAATGTGAAAACATGTTAAATATATGTTAGCCATGTGCTAATATGTATTTAGCATGCTTTAACACATTTCTAGGTTTTAAAACATGTTAAATACATGCTAACGATATGCTATCATGTTAGCAATGTGTTAAAACATGTTAATAAAAACATGTTAGTCCTTGTGCTGAAACATTCTAGCAGTTTAAAAGCATGCTAAATACATGTAAGCCCTGTGCCTAAACATAGCGATTTGTTAAAGCATACCAGCAATGTAGTTAAAGGCTAGGAATGTGGTAAAACATGCTAACAATATTAAAACGGAATGTTACTAAATGCCCTTCTGAGACACGATAAGAGAACGATGTACCAATGTTGCCGTTCTCCAAGGCTCTGATATCAGGTCTCAGGCGACAATCTGTAGGTGGAAGAACTTTCTCCATCTCTACATCCAACTCATTCAACTGCAGAGCAAACGTGGTAAAAGCGTAGTACTGAGAGAGAGAGAAAGAGAGAGACAAACTGATCATTATGAGGCACATATTACTGTGGCTACTGTTCTTACTGCTCTAAAACAAATGTAAGAAACCACCTCTGAGTGAACGTTGCTTCAAACATTTGCATATTGTTCAATAACATCACTGACATTAATCTAAATCCTGCACAAATACACAGATTTACATGAATAACCAGATCGATCAATGACTCAAACATGCAGATTTCTGTGGTCTCCTAATAATGAGTGACTGTACTGCATTACTCTTCTAACGTGTCATTCATAAAACTGATTCTTGTCGGCTGCTTGTGCTCCTCTCGTGTCCCTAAAATTATGCTAAACTGATAATGAATCGAGATCAGAATAAGAGATCAGAATTGGTCCTACTTTGCCCGAGTTGTCTGGTCGTGGTGAGATCCTCCAGATGAGTTCACTCCCAGGAATGAGCTGCACCGTCTCTGCTTCTGGAGGAGGCATTTCATCCGGTTCCTCTTCCGCATGACTGCTCTGAACATCACATCACACCAGACAGATTAATAATCTCAAGTGTTTGTAAGATGCTTCAAGTGGATGATAAATTAGTGATCAATAATTACGTCATTTAAATTGTATTTATGGGTGGCGCAGTGATTAGCACAATCGCCTCACAGCAAGAAGGTCGCTGATTCGAGCCCTGTCTGGGACAGTTGGCATGTCTGTGTGGAGTTTGCATGTTCTCCCCGTGTTGGTTAGGGATTCCTTCGAGTGCTCCGGTTTCCCCCACAGTCCAAACACATGCACTAAGTAAAACATTGTATGTATCATAATCAGTGGTAAAAGTACCATTACTTGCACAAAAATGTAGTGCCAGTAGAGTAAAAGAATCTGTTGTAAATATTACTCAAAGTAGGAGTAAAAGTAGAGCTTTTTAAAAGTACTCAAGAGTAATGAGTAGTGAGTATTACGCCATAAAAAGTCATTTTGCATTTACATGCAGTTTGTGCAGGGTTGTGTTAACGTAACATTCTGTAGTGCACTTAGTAATCTTCCTATATTCATTTGTTCCATCCAACTTTCTTCCATTGTTTGTTCTGTCCTTCATCTTTAATTTGTTCGTTCCTTCATTCGGTCCTTCCATCGTTCCTCCCTTCATTTGTTCGCTCATTCATATTTTTGTTCCTCCCTTTATTAGATCCTTTGTTAATTTGTTCGTTCCCTTCTTAGTTTGTTCAGTCCTTCCTTGAATTCTCACTTCATTCATTTGGTCTTTTGTTCGTTCGTTCGTTTTTATTTTTCATCCTTTCTTCATTAGGCCCCTTGCTCTTTCCTTCCTTTATTCATTCCTTTGGTCCTTCCTTCATTCCTCCCTTCATTTGTTCACTCATTCACGATTTTGTCCCTTCCCTCATTAGGTCCTTTGTTTGTTCCTTCCTTCCTTAGTTTGTTCAGTCCTTCTTTCATTCATTTGGTCCCTCCTTCCTTCATTAGTTCAGTCCTTCCTTCGTTCGGTCCTTCCTTCCATTTTTCATTCCTTCCATTTAATGATTGTTTAAAGAGGCTGTTTGGTGATTTCAGTCATCATGCAACATCCTTTTTTTTGTTGTTGTTTTTCAGTCGACATCTATTTTCTCATCAGTGACATCCAGTCTATTAAAAGACTGCGCGTCAACGTGTGTAAAGATTTTGAACATCTTCTTAGACATTTTTAACGCTTCTGAAAGGTTTGCTGCATTTATAAAGCGCCCATGTGTTAATGTTGTTCAGTATCATGTGATTGACTTTCTATGTGCGATTTGATTAGACCGGAATCACAGGACTGATTTCTCTACGTTAGCCAATCACCAAGGACAAGAAAGAAATAAAGCAGTGACTGCAGGTTGAAGGTAAGTAGTGGAGTAAAAGTACCAATACAGCACTAAAAATGGACTCAAGGAAAAGTAAAGTACACAATTTTAAAACTTCTTATAATTTTCTGAGAAAAACTACTCAATTACAGTAGTTTGAGTATTCTTAATTAGTTACTTCACACCACTGATCATAATTAGTAATGTTGTAAAAATAACTGTTAAACAGCACTTTTAAAATACTTTACACATTTTACTGAAGGGCTAATAATTTTGACCCTGAATCGATGTGTGATGTGATAAGTGATATCGAGTGCGATGCGAGCGGTCGTCACCGGCGTGCTGCTCTTCTCTGGTCGCTTCACGTCTGATTTTCTGTGAGCCTCGAAGGCCGCTGGATCCACAGAATACAAACACTCGGTCCATTTACCATAGAGCGCACACACCTTCTTCTTACTGCACAGACAAAGAAAATAATCCAGTTATTAATAATCGAGCTATTAATGCCTGTGCATCAGCAAAGTGGCAGATATAAAACAGCACTAGCTGTGAAATCAGTGCTGGTCAGGTGTGCATGTGTGCTTCAGTGTGAGTGTGTGCTTGATGCTTCTGTCAGTCTATGTGGCTCTTGTCGCTGTTCATCTAAATCTCCACATCTATAATCCTCTTAGTCTATGCTGACATTATCTCCAGCAGCTCATAACACTCTAATGTTTAACGGACAGACGGCTGCTTCTCACTCAGGGCTGCTGGACATGCTAATGAGGGAGAGATGGGCACTAGTGGGCGGGGCTTTCCTCCTCTGATGACACGTACAAAGGGAGAATGTCAATCAAAGTGTTTCTGCAGACTGATTATATCAAGTCTGATTATGAACAATAGAATTAATTGTGGATAGACAGACAGACAGACAGATAGATAGATACAGGTATAGGTACAGTATATATGTGGAATTCTGAATTGTTTTCATGCCTTTTATCAAGTATGTATCCTTCCACTTTATGCAACTCTTTTCCAAAGATGCCACATGACTTGAAGGTCAAACAGCATCTTTCTCCAGTTCTGTTGAGAAACAACAGCTGTTTACCACATGAAAATACTATAGTAATTCATAGTAAATATTACAGTGTTTTGAACGATGTATACCAGAGTATATATTATAGTATTTACAACTCTTTACTAATGAATTCTCCAGTATTCTGTAGCATTAATAATAGATATACTACTAAAATACTGTACTGTACTTTATATTACTTTTACTACAGTAAACTGTGATGTACTGTAGTATATTATACCATGTTGTTGTAGAAAACTACAGTTGTTTATATTAATAGTTGTGTAATTATAGCAATAATGTATAATCAACAGAACAAATCAATTACTATAGATGTTGTTACCATAGCAACTGTAGAATCAACGCAACAGATCAATTACTAGAGTTGTTCTGTTACCATAGTAACTGTAAAATCACTGCAACAGACCGATTACTATAGTTTTTGTTACCATAGCAACTGTATAATATATAGAACAGATCAACTACTATAGTTGTTGTGTTACCATAGCAACTGTAGAATCAACGCAACAGATCAATTACTAGAGTTGTTGTGTTACCATAGCAACTGTAAAAACACCGCAACAGATCGATTACTATAGTTGTTGTTACCATAGCAACTGTATAATCAACAGAACAGATCAACTACTATAGTTGTGTTACCATAGCAACTGTAAAAACACCGCAACAGATCGATTACTATAGTTGTTGTTACCATAGCAACTGTATAATCAACAGAACAGATCAACTACTATAGTTGTTGTGTTACCATGGCAACTGTAAAAACACCACAACAGATTGATTACTATAGTTGTTGTGTTACCATAGCAACTGTAGAATCACCACAACAGATTCATTCAAGTACTTTAGCGCAGTGGGTTTCAAAAACACTGTAGTATTTACTCTAAATTACCGTAGTATATACACATTTAATATGAAATGAGAGGCTGATACTTGCTCTTACTTATGATTAATAATTTCCACATTTCCGTATTGCTCGATCCACAGTTGTCCCATAATAATGTTATGAACGCAGCAGGTGGGGTTTGTCCATGTGTAGGCCTCACTGTGCCTGAGAAACAACACAGGAACAATCCGCTTGTTAAGTGGTGACGTGTTTGTGACGTATGTAATACTGTTTCCGGGTCCAAGCCGCCATTCACTTGAGTGGAGAAATCATTCGTTTATGATCACGTTTTATTCCTGTCACACATTAAAGTTAATTTTATATAAAATCGAAGTGAATTATAAAACAATGAATCACTTTCTGGCCATCGGATATTAGGCATGCACATATATATTGCGATCGTGACTTTCGAAAGTATTAAATGGCTTTGTGAACGTTTATTATTACCATTTCATGAGTCTCCCCATTCAGTTGAATAGAGCGCTTGGACCCGGAAGCCACTCCGCGTGACGTCACACTTAACAAGTGGATAAACACGTCAATAATGTAGATGATTATTAATACCTTACTGTGCTTTTAATCGTTTAACTGGCACAATAGCACTCTATTTACACCAGATAGATGATGACAGCACATAATATTAGACTAGATGTTCTTCAAGACACTAGTGTTCAGCTTAAAGTGACATGTAAAGGCTTCACTAGGGTAATTAGGGTAAAGTTAGGCTAATTAGGCTAGTCATTGTATAACAGTGGTTTATTCTGGAGACAATCCAACACTAATATTGCTGAAGGGGGCGCTTTAAAACAATTAAAAACTGCTTTTATTTTTAGCTGAAATAAAACAAATCAGACTTTCTCCAGAAGAACAAATATTAGAGGAAACACTGTGCAAAATTCCTAAATCTGTTCAACATCATTTGGGAAATGCTTGAGAAAGAAATGAACAGGAGGGCTAGTAAAAGCATGTGATGTGGAACGCCTCAATTGAATATACACACATTTGTGCACAAACAGGACAGGACTCACCCGGGCAGCTCCAGGCTGATGATCCCTCGCGGTTCAGCTTCTACACTCTTTCCCCAGAACTTGAGTTTGGGATAAATGGAGCCGTGAAACATAAAGTCCTTCTTTATGCCCTCGGCATGAAAGGCACTGATGGGTGGATGATGACTGACCTGCTCGGAGATCCATCTGAAGCCCAGATCCTCTCTGAGGACGGAAACACACACCGCTCAGGACCACCCGTACTTAAACCGCACTTCAACACACTTTTAACTGCAGTTTGGAGGTGAAATGAACACTAGGGGGCAGTATGACTGCATCATCCCATGTGTTTTTCACACTAATAATATTTACAGAGATATATTATTGACGAATACAGGATTATTTTCATGCAGTTCTTTGCTCAACACCAAATAAACAGCACTAAACATCTTAACACTGTCTATGATTAGTAATGAACACGTTTGCATCCCCTATCTATCTTCATATGGACACTTTTCTGGCATATAAGCTATGAGCTCACTTTGTACGGTGTTGTATTTATGCCGCAGAACGCTCGGACGTTTGAGTCTGGTGAAGCACACTTTCACAAAGGAAATAAACGCAACGTAAAATCAAGGTAAACTATGTGCTGGTAGTGCACTTTTCTCTTCTGTTTGCTTCTGAAAACACTATCGGTTGGGTTTAGCGAAGAGTTTAGCGAAGTGTTTCGCTAGCTGATCCGTACGCTCCGCCTTCTGAATGTCTACAAGAAGGACGTGCATCTGAAACTTACAACGGAACACTCCCTAAGTAACGTATTTCAGATTCGCACGTATGTAGACATCACAGCGCCCTCTAGTGGATTTGTGAACTGAAACATCCCACAACACGTACCCGAAGCAATGTATTTCAGGTTTCGCAAAAATGGAGGCTGAGGCATATATGCCTGGGTCCTCATACATCATCATATGAGTGTTAGGAAAATATCTGTAACACGTTTGCTTCAAAAATGTAGAGAGCGCCCTCTAGCAGATTTGTTATTAGAAATGTGTAATAAAACGTACGTCAATTAACGTATTTCAGAGTCACAAAAATGTAGACAGCGCCCTCTAGAGGATTTGTTATTAGAAATGTGTAATAAAATATACCCCATGTAACGCATTTCAGTTTCGCAATAATGTAGACAGCGCCCTCTAGTGGATTTGTTATTTGAAATGTGCGTTGACATGTACCCGGAGCAACATATTTTAGGTTTTACCAAAAAATATAGGCTAAGGCACATGCTTCTAATAAGCCTGGCTTGTAATAAACCATCATAAGAGTGTTTGGAAAATATCTGTATGTTTACTTTTTTTCGTAATGTATTTCAGATTCGCAAAATCGTAAACAGCGCCCTCTTGTGGATTTGTCATCTTAAACTGAAAGGAAATGTACCCGGAGCAACGTATTTTACATTTTGCAAAAATGTAGGCTAGTGCAGTGGTTCCCAACCTTTTTCTTTGGGGCCCCCCCAATGAACATATACAAACATTGGAGCCCCCCCACCATATAAATACACACGCATACACACACATATGTACTGTATATATATATATATATATATATATATATATATATATATATATATATATATATATATATATATATATATATATATATATATATATATATATATATATATATATATATACACATATATATATATATATATATATATATATATATATATATATATATATATATATATATATATATATATAT